TATAAGTATTATTACACATAACCACACTCAGCGTTCTGTTTGGTTGATATTGGCGGACGGCACATGATATTTGAATGTTAGTGATAGACAAAGCCTTTGATTTCCGATAAAAAAATAATTAAAATGGTTGCATTAGATAAGAAGCCTCATAAAAACAAAAAAAACCACTCAATACTTATGGTATAATTGGATAATGTTTTAACTTGTTTGCTAAACCAACGCCTTCAGCTTAGGCCTACGGCGTAAAATATTGACTGTAACAGCATTAACTACACTTTGAATTATCTCTATTCAGAACGAAATTTAATTAATACATAATACAATGGCTAATAATATTAAACCTAAAACCAGAGAGATTATAGAAAATTCTTGCGTACTTTACAGTTTCAGTTACGAACAACAAAAAAAAAGTTAGAGGCAAAATAACGTGTTTTAATATTCTTACTGAAAGGTAAAGTTAAACTGCTTTTATTTTCAATCAGTGACAACCATCATATATCCTTAAGGCCTAAAATGAACTTACAAGAAACAAATCAGAATTCGGTAAACACTCTACTTACCACTACACAAATGTAAAGTATTCTGTAGAAAGAAATAATAATAAAATGTAATAAGCAGTTTTAAGGACTATGTTGAATAAGGTATTTATAAAGTAAACAATTTTTCTTAAAATATTTCTTTAGTATGTAATTTTTCGTAACCCGGATTCATTTAGAAATAATATTAACTTTTACCAAAAATAAACTTTTGTAATCGTATAGAATCGTTCGTACAAAACTATTCATTATTAAGATCTCCCAAAAGCGGAAAGAAGTGATCATTTAATATCGGTGTCACACAAACAATTCGTCTCTAGTTCAAACAACGAATAATCAATAACAACAAAATAGGATTTGTATAGTTACAATTTATTTATTTTTACTAATGTTCAGAGTTTTGTAAATCAACTTAATATAATTTAACTAATTAAGTAAACTACCCTGCTGATTAAAAAAAAAAAATTCTGAAGGTAATCCATCTCATTCACATGAAAAATAGAAATTTGTCATCAGCTTGAAACTGTATTACAACCACATCAAAATTTGACCTTAAAGTATTTTTAGTTGGGTCGAATGTGGCCAGTGTTTGGCATGTGGATTGTGGATCTGATGTTCCGTGGTTCGTTCGCAGTTACCGCCTAAAAAAAAAAAAATTGTGCTCCGTCACTTTGGGGTCGTAAGTGTGTGATAAGAGTGACGGTCAATTTCCAATATTCGGCCTGACAAGAGTAACCCAAGTTGGTGTTGTTGACTAGTTGTATTACCTCTATAATCTATCACTTCAAATTAGAGCGGCTAGCGAAAATAACCCTCGTGTAGCTTTACGCGAAATTCAACAAACAAATTTTCAATCATCTCCAACCATTTTGATCTAACAAACATTTCATTTTTTTCTTATGTTAGTTGCATTGCAGACCAAAAACACTAGAAAAATAACTTCTAAAAATAAAATACTTACTGTCTTCAGCTTTACCTGCTTTCGGAATATATTGCATGAAGTTAGAATAGTTTTCTTTTTCCGTAACGCGGAAGAAAAGTCGTAGCTATAATTTATTTTTTTGCTGTTTTTCAAAGTGAATGTATAAAATTTCCATTTCGCTTTAACCTTTCTTCTCCTTCTGTTTCCTTATTTGAATGCTCATCTTCTCCTCTTTTGTCTAGTTTCTTTTTATTTACCACAACTATCTGTTTTGCTTGAAAATCTGCTTAAACTCTCTCTCTATTCTGTACAATCTGTTTAACATGGCGTCTATCTTCTTTTCTGGTAATATTCTATCCAACTTTCTACAATACATAGCTTGTAGTTTAGTGGCTCTCAAACTTTTCAAGCTCGCGTACCGCTTTTTGTTTAAACCTTCTTTTTCTGGAGCGATTTTTTTTTAGATCGTCTCCTTCAAGCTGACAAAAAAAAATATACTAGCAAGTCTATGCAGGCGAAGAGGGGAGAGTAGTGTGTATACGTATGTAGACGGGAAGCTCAAATTCGGCTTATTACAAATTTTATAATTTTTACATTAATTTTTTCTCGTACCGCCGATACTAACTCCACCAGTGGTACGCGTACAACAGTTTGAGAATCCTGTACAACACTTAAACTTTTTATTCATATACTCAAGCATCACTCGGTTATCTGACAAACTCCTTGAAAATTCGCTCAAATACTAAATTAAAAATAAAAACGAAATGATGAGGTTTATCATACATGATGGACAAAATCAGAAGTACCTCTCGCCATTAAATAAAATAAATAATATTATTAAAACGGCCACTTAGTGCTAGGCATTACAGGATTTTTCCGATACATTTATAATTTTATTTTAAATAGGGTTTATTTTATGTATACTAAAATAAATTTATTTGTATATATTGCATTATTACTGCAATGGACTGTAGTGTGAACACGGGATTTTTATGCAAACCTACATCAGCGATTTGTATGTAATTATGTGAAATTGATGATATCAGCCTATAATATTGACAAGGCCTTAAAGGAGCAATGCGAAATTTTATTTATTAATGCCAAGAAAACAAATCTAGCATTGGGTATGTGTGGGAAGTATCACCAGAAAAATTATATGGGGATTAAATAAAATCTCAGCAACCTGAACACAAGATCATCAGCGCGGACCTCATGGAGAAATCTTGCAGTGTAAATTCGACCAAACTACAATACCAAGAAACAGAAGTTTTAAACAATAAAAAGTACCCAAAATCATCTTAGAATGAAAACAAATTAAACATGAAATATCTGATACAGCAATCAAACCGCGTATTCATTGGTTCAAACATACAGAGTTGTTAGTTTAAAATTAAGGTTTTATCGCGCTGATTAATAACAATTACCTGATCACTACCGATATTAAATCGATAATTGGTTACGATGTTTCGTATTTTCAACCTAATGAGGCACATATATTCCAAACGGACAAATGTGAGACTCCAAGATTCAGACACAGTCGTTCCTAATTTTAAACTGCTAACTAGAGGGAGTTGGGGGAAAATCAAAAGCACTCATTGCGTACAAGACTACTTTTAACCGAATATCAGGATTAAATGTCGCTTTTGTGACGCTCCCATAGACTTGAACTTTGGACTTCTGATGCACAGCCCGGAACGCTAACTGCTAAGTCACACCTATTCAATAACATATCGCAAATTACAGCTCAAAGTAAAATACGTGCGCTAAGAAATTGTAGTGTATTATTATATTTCTTAAGTCCCGACTTCATCACCTCTATTAATTTTAATTTAGAGAATAATAATGAAACGCTCCCTGCGTAAAGTACTTTTTTATGACTTCATCTTACGAAAATCGAAATGGTGTATTTAAGTGTTTTACATATGATAGGTTTCTTTTTTCTAAGTGTAAAACACTTAAACACACATTTTCGATTTTCGATATCTCACTACTATAAAGGCTTGGTTTGGTCTGATATTTCATTGGTGGTAGTGTCCAGGGTCACTGATGAGGAGTGGAATTCTCCGGAACTAGTCTGGCTCACAGACACACCCCCAATGAAACAATAGACCATTCCAAGCTTTTATTTGTTGTTAAAAAAAATGTTTAAACAACTATTCAATTCATCATTACGATTCTTTTATTTTTATTTCTTAGCGCAAAGCTGCATATTGAGCTGTTTGCGCTTTGTCCATCGTGAGGAATCGAACACTGGATTTTAGCATTGTAAGTCCGTAAACTTACCGCCGACCCACCGGAGAAAAGCCATGCATTTGAAAGGTATCGTTTTAAAGTTGTTTTTTTTTTTTGTACTAGATCTGTTGAAAAATAATTAACAGCAGGCGATAGCTTTACCATAAAGGTGGAGAATACAAGGTACCATGATTAAATAAAATTGGTCGGGTGTGGACTAGTGTTAGCATGTTCAAACCGTGAAACCGAGGAGTCGTGTTTCGCTGTTCATTGTCTCAAAAACTGTGGGGTGTGTTATAATAGTGACGATCAAATCCCACTATTCAGTTAGATAAGAGAAGTTGGGGATAAGACCCGTTGTTGACTAGCTCCTTTCTCTCCACTCTATAAGTTTAAAATTAGGGAGGGGAATGCACTGACAGCACGAAAATTCTGAAACAAGAAAATTTCCACTAAAACTTAATATATATTCAAATAACGAAATGAACAGAATAGCCTTCGAAACAGAGAAATTTCTGTAAAATTGAACTCGGCGATTTAGATTTAGTTTTATTTTCAGTAAGAGCTTTTATGGAAGATTAAGTTGATGGACAATTCACAACACGTACTCGTGCAAGAACGGTTTCCAATCGTTTGAGAAGCAAATTTATTCAACAATATTCGTTTAAAGTACTTGAAGTTCTTCCAGGGCGGCTGCTGATATTATCATTATGCATCATATTGCTAGTTTAATTTATTCCACCTGTGTGGAGATAAAGGTCTTTGGCGAGGTTTCGACCAGACAGTTGCATCAGGCAGTTATAAGTTGAAACAAATAGAGCTACGGTTTATTAGGATTTGTTTCTCTAAGAGCATAGCCACATTGGACTATCTGCTGTGTTTACCGAGGGGAATCGAACCCTGAACTTGAGCGTCGTAAGTCCGTAAACTTACCGCTGTCCCATCGGGAGACTGGATTATCAACAAGATAACAGCAATGATACAATGTAATAAAATACATAGTTAGTGGTTTGATAAACTTACCGCTGTCCCATCGGGAGACTGGATTATCAACACGATAACAGCAATGATACAATGTAATAAAATACATAGTTAGTGGTTTGATAAACTTACCGCTGTCCCATCGGGAGACTGGATTATCAACACGATAACAGCAATGATACAATGTAATAAAATACATAGTTAGTGGTTTGATAAACTTACCGCTGTCCCATCGGGAGACTGGATTATCAACAAGATAACAGCAATGATACATTGTAATGAAATACATAGTTAGTGGTTTGATAAACTTACCGCTGTCCCATCGGGAGACTGGATTATCAACAAGATAACAGCAATGTTACAATGTAATGAAATACATAGTTAGTGGTTTCATTTTTATTTTACTCGTTACTGGTCGCATTGGGATAGTGGAAGGCTGATGGGTAGTTTCTAAAGAGGGCATTTTAACCAAAGTTCATTATCGTATTCTCTATTAACATCCTCTAGTATAAATGAATTTTGGTAATGGTAAAAATGCCCACTTTTGTAACTATAGTTTTTATAGAACTTTGAAGTTCTTCCTTCAAACCATGTGACAGCTTGGATGTATATTTCTGTCCTGGTTAACTAACACTGAAAAATGTCAACAACATATCTATAATTTTTTTGATAAATTAAAATTTTGGTAAATAAAAAAGACGCTTTACAAACAAATTGTAGTTTCACCCGAGTTCTGTCTAAGTCTTGTTTGTCATCTTTTTCTAAGTTCTGTCTAGCTAAGTCTTGTTTGTTATGTTTGTATGAGCTGTACTCTAACTAGAAGTTTTGTTCATCATCTTCATGTGAAATCTTAAGAATCAGAAGGTTCTGTTTATTATCTTCTTCTGTCCTATTGTATATTAGTAAAAAGTGTAGTTCATCACTTTCTTCGGAGCTATTGATTGTTGCAGATGATTTTTTATGACCCATATCTGTCCCAACGTCACTACATGTGACACAACTGGATAATTCATGGTTCTTGATGGTACACGGATATTCTTGTTATCAGGCGAGTCATATCTGTTCTAACACCGAGTGATGAACTATATGTGAAATACCAAACTCACTGTTTGGTTAAGATTTTACAAGAACCCATCTTCTAATAACCCATATAAATGTTGCCTGCGTTAACTAAACTTCTTCGTCTCATACAGCCCATTTTGATGTCTTAATAAACATTGAGTTCGTCGGGTTAAAAACTAATATTTTGTAAATTCAATCTGAATGGACTTGGCAGGTTTCTTGCGTTTTTTTTGTCGATCTGTGGTTTGAAAATGCAAGTTTAAGAGCTGAACTATGGTAAGGTTCTTAGTTATCTTCCAAAAAGTACTGATCCTTGCTATTGTAGTGTCTTGAAGCTGTCAAGGGTCTAACAGCTACAACTGACACATCTCCCAGGTTAGTTTATTTGAGACGTCTCACAAAATTGTTTTCAACTCTTAATAAATTGCCTAAAATCTCCTAATCCCGACGTCATATATTATTTAAGAGTTTCATATAAAGAAATAGTGTATAAGTTTTAGAATAAAATCATTAAATCTTTTGAAATATGGTGAAAATGTTTTTACAGCACTAACAAGCAATGGCACTTTCTGAACTTGAATTGTGTATTTACCTCGAAAGCAGTGAGAATAGGGTCATCGCTGGTCAATGAGATCCAGGCTGGACTGGCCAAGGCCCGGTAGGTGTGGATCTTCCGGAGGGAGTAACGTAGACTGTCCGTATGCATCCCCTCTTGACATTTTTGGCAGCAACAGGATAGCAAGTGCGGGTTGTCGATCATCGCTCCACGAGAGAGTAGGAGTTGCAAGATCTCGAACTGGTTGCAGTGTGCAGCTAGGATAACGGGCGAGATATCGGGGCTGTAGTCTGGGCTTTCATCGCCCTGTTGTCGACTCTTTGCCCAATCGCTGGCTAACATGCCCGCCGTGATGCTGGGATGGTTAATCAACATTTCTACGATCTTGTAAACGCCCTCGCGGATTGCATATAGCAGAGCATCTCCAATCTGTACGTGTTCTTGCTGCAGAAGAAGCTCCACAATCTCCACGTTTTCGTTGTCCACGGCGATTTGGATAGCGCTACGGCCCAGGATGTTGGTGCAGTTGACATTTACAGGGTGAGGTAGCTGAAGACAACGAATCATGGTGTGTTTGTCACCTCGCTCGGCGGCCTCCAGAAACGTCCTCTCCTTAGGATCCATACTTTGGTTGTCCTTCAAAGGCTCCAGGGGAATAAGAATCCGGTTCTGGTTGATGCTGAGTTTGTTGCTGCATCTTAAGGACTTGTCCATCATGTTCTAGTTTCGCTCGGCAACGCTTCTAGAGGACTTAACTTCTTCACCAAGATATAACTGTTTCGTGTCTTAACATGTCGGGTTTTGTGGTGCAGCTCGTGTCACTGAAACGTCACCAAATAGAACTTGTTTAAACATCATATCCAACCGAGTATAAAAATATAGTCAACATTATCTATAATCCTACAACCACATATAACAATGAAGTGAATAATGTCTATAAACCTCCAACCATGTACAACAATGAAGTAAACAATATCTATAAACATCCAACCATGTACAACAATGAAGTAAACAATATCTATAAACGTCTAAACATGTACAACAATGAAGTGAACAATACCTATAAACATCCAAACATCTAAAAATATCTATAAACATCCAACCACGTACAACAATGATGTGAACAATACCTATAAACATCCGCCCATCTTACATCCTCCCAGACTTGCAACAATGAGGTGAACAATATCTATAAACATCCAAACACGTACAACAATGAGGTGAACAATGTCTATAAACATCCAAACACGTACAACAATGAGGTGAACAATGTTCATAAACATCCAACCACGTACAAAAATGAGGTGAACAATATCTATAAACATCCGCCCAGACTTACAACAATGAGGTGAACAATGTCTATAAACATCCAACCACATACAACAATAACGTGAATGATATCTATAAACACCCAACCACGTAAAACAATCGCAAATAAGACAACAAAATATGAAATAATTTTCTCCTAGTGATTACATGTTGATTACTTATTAATAATGAATCTGTTATTTTAAGAATGTTTCACTTTTTGGCACATTGATTAATAATAACACAAAACGTTAACCCTTTCTCTATTCTGGCTCCCCAGTGGGTCAGCGTTAAGTCTCACAGCTTACAACACTAAAATTCGGGTTTCGATACCCGCTGTGTGTTGGAGCACAAGTAGTCCATTGTGTATCTTTCTGTTTAATAACAAACAAGCAATTTTCTACTTTGACGCATAAAAGGAATACTCTGACAATTAACAAGTTAAATCCTTAAAGATCTCAAAAATATATCAGTTACAACTTCATTCATTGCCAAATTAAGGTTAGTAATAGTCTTTATACAATTAAAATCTCAGAAGACCTGCTCAAGATGGATATAGAAAAACATCCACTACAGCCCTTGATCATAGAATTGTAAAAACCTGAGAATCGTGTAGAAGTTATTTCAAAATACGAAATAATAAATTAGGGTTACCGAAAATCAGGGTCATTTACTTTATTCAGGATTAGGAGGTCGTAACCACCTGTCTTTACGTCTTTCATATAATTTATATGATATATTGATTATTATCTCGCATTTACTTTATATAAAAATTAATCAACTTTTAAAATCAGATAAATTAAAAAAATTTATCTTGTTGTTTGTTTTTCAGTTTCGCACAAAGCTA